GAACACCTACGCTCGGTTCGCAATAAACAACTGCACCTCCCAGTCGCGAACCATTTCAACTCCCCCTCCCATTCCTCAGACGACATGTCCATCCTGGGCCTCCTGCAGTGCCACAACGATGCCACCCGAAGGTTGCAGGAACAGCAACTCATATTCCGCTTGGGAACCCTGCAGCCCAATGGCATCAATGTGGATTTCACAAGTTTCAAAATCTGCCCCCCACCTCCCCCTACCGCATCCCAAAACCAGTCCAGCTCGTCCCTGCCTCCCTAACCTGTTCTTCCTCCCACCTATCCCCTCCTCCCACCTCAAGCCGCACCTCCATCTCCTACCGACCAACCTCATCCCGCCCCCTTGACCTGTCCGTCCTCCCTGGACTGACCTATCCCCTTCCTAACTCCCTACCTACGCTCACCTTTACTGGCTCCATCCCCGCCTCTTCGACCTGTTTGTTTCCTCTCCACCTATCCTCTCCTCTATCCCTCTTCTATCCGCCTCCCACTCTCTCCCTATTTATTTCAAAACCCCCTTCCCCTCCCCCTTTTCTGATGAAGGGTCGAGGCCCGAAACGTCAGCCTCTCTGCTCCTATGATGCTGCTTGGCCTGCTGTGTTCATCCAGCCCTGCACCTTGTTGTCTTTAATTTATGAGGCACTGACAGAGGTACTGGGGAAGCAGGAAGATGTATTGGGCACTGCTACCTCTCAGAGCCAGGGGCCCCAAGTTGGATTCCACCCTCGGGTGACTGTCTGTGTGGAGTTTGCACATTCTCCCCGTGTCTGCGTGGGTTTCCTCCGGGTACTCAGGTTTCTTCCCACAATCTAAAGATGTGCAGGTTAGGTGGATTGGCCATGGGAATGCAGGGTTACGGGGATAAGGTTGGGGAGTGGGTTTGGGTGGGATGCTCTTCGGAGGATCTGTGTGAACTTGATGGGCTGAATGGCCTGCTTCCACTCCATGGAGATTCCATATTGTCAGGATGGCCTTTACTTAAACCTTGCTGGGACCAAAGTCTGGTGACTTGTATTAACTATGGCTGTAGAGAGGTCCCAAAGCTAAATACTCAGCTGGATCACTTGAGGGGAGTTTAAAGCTGGAATTGAACACCATTCTGAACAATTGGTCAAGTTGGCCAAATGGCCCCCTTCTGTGCTGTATCATTTCTCTGGTTCAATAGTCATTATAGAAACTGGCATCAATTTGTTTATGTAAAGTCCGTCTTGTTTATTAGTGCCTTTCGGGATGGAAATCTTTCTGATGTTTCCAAATGTAACTCCAGACTGACAGCAATGCAGTTGACTCTTAACTGCCTTCTGAATTGGCCAAGCAAGCCACTCAGTTCAAGGGCAATCAGAGACAGTCATCAGAGCTGACGAGTCATGACTACGTCCTGTTAAAATTGCAATCTTTTGGAATGAGATATTAAACCAAGGACCTGACTACCCTTCAAGATGGATTTTTTTCTAAAAATCCCACAACATTATTTGGAACAGAAGTAGGGAAATTTTTCCTTCATGTTCAAGCCAAAATATATTCCGTAACCATGGATCACCAGAAAAATAGACGATCTGGCCATTTAGCTCATACTTGTTGGTGCCATATTGCTATGCTCTAATTAGTTATCACTGTGTCAACAGGACCACAGCGACTACTATTTGAACACACTTCACTGAAATAAGATGCTTTGAGATATCCTGGGTTTGTAAATGATGCTATATAAATGCACCTCTGTCTTTCTTTTCACCATTATCCTGTCACTCTGAATTAGATCACTGCGAAAGTGCGGGGGGTGGTCACAAATAGGGGGCAATGTTTGGGGGTCACAAATGCAAGGCAATGTGTAGGGGTTTATAAATGGGGTAATGGGGGGGTCACAAATAAGGGGCAGCGTGGGGGCTTACCCACTGAATTATTCAGCAAATGATCAATGACAGTGCCTCTTTGACAACCCCATTAAAAGAATATTTAGGCTTGATCTCTTTTGTTCAGATTAGAGAGATCCCATGAGCTGGGGACCAGGTGGCCACTCCTTTCATCTCCTTCTAGGGACACAATTACCCTTTCCACAGGTGGCTAGGCTATTAGAAGGAACCTGTTGGTCACACATAAACGTGCAAACTAACTATGAAAATGGTGGGATGTCTTCAGCAAGAGTGTGATTCCTCCCAGTCTGTGGAATTGTCTGCTAAAGTCATTTCACTCCCCAATCTCTCACCACAACTGCAGCTGCTGATAGTACAGTGTCGGACAGAAAATGGCTCCTGGGGTGGATATGCACGACAAAGTCACACTAGAGAGAAATGGGATTGGAAATAAGGCAGTAGATTGCAAGCGAAGAGAGCTAGAGAGTAGCTTTTTTTTGAGGGGGTAGACAAATTTGAAAAGGATGGGGAACAGAACCTGAGGGGATGCTGAAGGACGAAAACAGAGTAGAAGGATGAATAGGATAGACAGCACGAAATTTTAGGACAAAGGAGAAGGCCCAGGTGATGGGACAACCCGGATAGGTGGGGTAATGTCTGAGAGAGGAGGGAGCAATGCAGGACGTCTGGAATTTGGAAGCAGAGTTCATGGTCAAACAGGTTGAATATTCCCCTTAAGAATGATTCCATTAGTGTATGTCTAGAAGAGATGATTTTTTTCAACAATAGTCTCTGCATGAAGCTATTTTCTAATCAACCTGTTCAGAGATCTTATTGCGCACCTCTGGTGCAGGTGGGACCTGAACCCAAGCCTCCTGGCTCAGAGATAGGGACACTACCACAAGAGCCATCTAAACATCAAGCTAGAGTTCTGGATTACAAATCCAGTGTCATGATCACTGTGCCACTGATGTTCGGCCTCTGTTTTATGCTGACATTTCTAATATGTGAATCATCTTTATAATACACTTTATATGCTCCTCATATACACTTGTGTGCAAATATTGAGGAAGAAGGGAAGTCACTCACACCTTGCTCAACCCCAGCTCACAACGAAATTACAAAGAGACCGATATCAGCAATTTAAAAGCAAAGGTTAACACAAGGATAGAATGCACCTCAGTTGAAAGTGTCTTCCAAAAGACAGCACCTTTGACAGATTATTTGCTCTTCATCACATTGCTGTTGGGTGGAAGGGCTTGCTGAGTGCAAATTGCTTGCTGTGCTTCCCAAACTAAAATAGTGACAAACTTAGCAAGTATTCCATTCACTGTAAAGTGCTTCGAATGCCTGATGATTGTGGAAAGTGCCGTAGGAGGTGTGATCAGTAAGTTACACAAAAATTTGTGGTGTGGTAAATTACGAGGTGGAAAACTTTAGGCTACAGGACAATATAGACAGGCTGGGTCAGTTGGGCAGTACAATGGCAAATGGAATTTAATCCTGAACAGTGGTGCATTTTGGAAGGACTAACAAGGCAAAGGATACAAGTCAAATGACAGGACCTGAGAGAGTACAGAGGATCAGAGAGACATTGATGTGCTTGTCCATAGATCGTTGAAGGCAGTGGGACAGGCAGATAAGGTATTTAAAAAGGCATCTGGGATAATTATCTTTTCTAGTCTAGGCATTGAATACAAAACAAAAAAATTATGATGGAGTTGTTATGAGGTTAGTTAGGTTTCAGCTAGAGTACTGTGTGCAGTTTTGGTCACTTAGATGTGCAATTATAACCAAGGTTAAAAAAATGTAATAGTGGTGTTATTTAATTATTATAATGCTTTTAAACCATCAGAACGGACAGGGAAGACAGTTCCCAGGGGAAGCACTGCATTGCTAGAGACCTTCTCTTCAGGTTGACTGTAAACTGGTTGAAATAACGTACTTAATAATTAACTGAATTTCAGTGCTGCAAGGCTGACACAAACCCTCCCAGTAATCAGCAGCAGAGGATAAAAACAGAGTGTCAGAGGCAGAAAAAATAGTCAATATTGAATAAGAGAGACAGGCAAAAACAAAGCAGTTATGAAAAAGGGTCACTGGACCCACAATGCCAACTCTGAATTTTCTCCACAGATGCTGAGATTTTCCAGCAATTTCTGATTTTGTTTTTGTTTCAAAACAAAGTTGGGACTGGTTTCCTGGCTGCAGGAGATGCTTTGAACAAAGGCTCTCCTTCAGCTTTCCTTCCCTCTTAAAGAGTGTTTTAAACTTGATACTTATATTCCGACAAGTATTCCTTCAGTTTAATTGGCAAAGGCAGTTGTTCGATCTCTCTGGTTGCTTTATGTATGGTAATACGGCAGAGGTGTTGCAGTGACGGGGTCTCAGTGTAAAAAGGTTTGGTTAACCAGAGCTGGACGCCTCTGTTTTGAAGAGCCAGACAGCGGCTGTTCTGAAGCGTCCGACATAAGCCCACATAATATTCCACCAGATGCACCACACTATCAAACTGCTGAAGCTTAGATCTCATGAGGATCACCGAGTCGAGCCTGAACTTGCCATCTCGATATTCAATTCGCAGGTTGGTTGGTCCCAGGACAGTTTTCACAGAGATGGTGAGAAAATAGTCCTGGTGTGAGCTGTCTCGCACCAGGAAAGTACCTTCAGAAGCTTCTTTTAACATCTCGTTGGCTTCGTTTGCTTGAAGAGCTCCCCAGTACCATCCTGTAAAAAACAAGAGATGAGTTGTAAACTAGTATGCTGTAACACCAGTGTTGTGTCAGTAACAGTTCAGTTGGCAGAATGCTGACTTGGATATGGTTCAAGTCTCACTCCAGGGCTAGATAACAAAGTTCTAGGCTGATATCCCATTGCAGAGCTGACAGGGTACTGCACTATCAAAGGTGCCACCTTTTGGATGAGACTTTCAACTGAGATGCTCTCAGAGAGTACGGAAGTTAACTTGGTTTAAAAGAAAACATTATTTACTCTTCGTCACATTACTGTTAGAGGGGGCTTACTGAGCGCAGATTGCTTGCTGTGCTTCCCACACTAAAACAGTGACAAACTGAGCAAATGCTTTGAAAGCCTGATGGTTGTGGAAAGTTCTGTAGGAGGTGTAATCTGTAAGTTACATAAAAATTGGTGGTGTGGTAAATAGCAAGAATGAAAGCCTGAGACTGCACGACAGTATAGATGGTGAGATGGACTGAACAATGGCAAATGGAATTTAATCTTGAAAAGTGAGGGGTGATCCATTTTGGAAGGACTAACAAGGGAGGGGAGTACACATTGAGTGGTAAGATCCAAGGAAGTACAAAGGGTCAAAGGGATCTTGATATGCTTGCCGTAGAGTCATAGAGTAATACAGCATGGAAACTGGTCCACACTGACCATGGTGCCCGGTTAGCTAGTTCCAATTGCCGCATTTGGTCCATATTCCTCTAAACCCTTCCCATCCATGTACCTAAGCTAATGTTTTTTAAATGTTGCTATTGTACCTGCCTCAACCATTTTCTCTGGTAGTCCATTCCATATACACACCACTCTCTGCGTGAAAAATTTGCCCCTCAGGTTCTTCTTAAATCTATCCCTTCTCACCTTAAACCTATGTCCTCTAGTTTTCAATTCCCCATCCCTGGGAAAAAGACTATATGCTTTCATCCAATCTGTGCTCCTCATGATTTTATGCACCTCAATAAGGTCCCCCCTCATTCTCCTATGTTCCAAGGAATAAAGCCCTATCCTGGCCAACCTCTCCCTATAACTCAGGCCTACTAGTCCTGGCAACATCCTTGTAAATCTTCTTTGCACATTTTCCAGTTTAACTATGTCTTTCCTATAACTGGGTGACCAAAACTGTACACAATACTTAGTGCGGCCTCACCAACGACTTATATAACTGTATCATAAAGTCCCAACTCCTATACTCGATGCCTCGACCGATGAAGGCAGCACGCTAAATGCCTTCTTCACCACCCTGTCCACCTGTGATGCTGCTTTCAATGAACTATGTACCTGTACTCCTAGGTGTCCCTGTTCCACAACGCTGCTCAGGTCCTTACCATTTACTGTATAAATCCTACATTGGTTTGACTTTCCAAAGTGCAACATCTGACACTTATCTGTATTGAATTGCATTTGCCAGTCCTCAGCCCACTCCCCCATCCAATCAAGATCCCTCTGTAATTTTTGATAACCTTCTTCGCTATCGATGATGCCTCCTAATTTTGTATCATCCGCAAACTTTCTAATCATGCCTTGTACATTCACATCCAGAACATTTATGTGAATAAGAAATAACAAAGGTGCCAGCACCAACCCCTGTGGCACACTACAGAAGACAGCACGACAGGTGGATAGGGTGGTTAAGAAGGCAAATGGGTACTTGCCTTCATTAGTCAAGGCATTGAATGTGAGAACATGAAGGTTATGATGGAGCTGTTTATTATGTCAGTCAGGCCACAGCTGAAGTACTGTGTGTAGTTCTGTTCACCACTCTATAGAAAGGATGTGATTGTACTAGTGAGGGTGCAGAGCAGATTCACCAAATATGGCCTGGGCTGGATGGACTAAATGGGCTGGGGTTGTTTTCCTCAGAGCAAAGAAGGCTGAGGAGGGAACAGATTGAGGTTTACAAAGTTGTGAGGGGCATTAGGTAGCTAGGGAGAAGCTTGTCCCATCAGTGAGGGGGTCAATAACCAGGTTGCACAGTTTTAAGGTAGGGAGCAGGAGGTTTAAAGGTGATTCGAGGAAAAAAAAATACCCAGAGGGTTATTGGTATCTGGAACTCACTGTCTAAAAGGGTGGTAGAGATAGAAACTCTCAAGACATTTGGGAACTATTTAAGTGAACGCTTGAAACAACATAGTGTACAAGGTTATGGGCCAGGTGCTGGAAAACGGGATTAGAATAGATGGAGGTTTGATGAACATTGATCCATTGATACAAAAAAAATCACTTTGACAGCAGTCACTGTTTAGGCAGCAGTGATCAAAGAGAAACTCAGAGGCTTGGGATCTGCTCCAGTCATTGACAACTGGTAAACGAGCCTAATGGTATTATCAGTAAACTATTAATCCAGAATTCAAATAATGTTTTGTGGACCCAAGTTCAAATCCCGCTCCAGCAGATGGTGAAATTTGAATTCAATAATAATCTGGAATTAAAAATCTACTGATGACCAGGATACTATTGTTGATTGTTGGAAAAACCCAGCAGGTTCACAGATGTCATTCAGGAAAGGAAATCTGCCATCCTAACCTGGTCTGGCTGACATGAGACTCCAGACCCACAGCAATGTGGTTGAATCTCAACTGTCCTCTGAAATGGCCTAGCAAGTCACTCATGATGAGCCAAAGGGCCTTTTTCCATGCTGTAAAAACTTTGACGCAATGGCTATATAAATGCATTTCAAAATTTTGAGCCACTTAATGTCTGTGTATATTTTTTTGGATATAAACTGGAAAAAATGCAAATCTGGACATTGCTGTGTTGCAGTGAATGTGCCAGATGTATTTCTTTTTGGAACACGAAAGTCAAAAGCTTATACCAGGTATGTAATTTTTGGAGGAGCTGGTATAAATATGTTAGTGAGACAAGATGGCATTGGATGCTTTTAGGTGGAAAAGCTGCTGAGAAACAGCCTTTGGATATGTAGTTTGTCACAGACCTGAGAAGAGGTAGTTGAACCCAGATATCCAGAAAGCCTACAATCAAAGACAGATCTCTCTTTCTCTCTCTTATCCTCTGTAAGTGAAAAAGAAACATTTAAAGAATATGAAGAGAAGAACTAGTAACTCAAGCAAAGACCTAGATCCAACTGACTGGCTATCGAATTGAGGACCACCTATTGCTCTGCGGTCAGCATCAATGTGATACCATTGCCAAAAGAAATTGTGAGAAAGTCACCTCATTTCCACCTTTGCGTTGGATTCTTGATCCACAAGAATTTGTTCCTTTTTGCCCCTGTTTTCCACCATGATATTTCTGCAGAACTGTCTGTTCAGTCTGTCCATTTATGAATGAGTGTGTGTGCATGTTTGGGTTTAAAGAGGATGTAGCTTAAGTTTGCATAGTAGTAGTTGATAATCCATTTGACACTTGTTAAAAGGTAAGTTTATTTATATTAAATGTGTTGTTTAGTTCATTGATGAAACCTGGTCCAAGCTTCTTTTGTCCTCGATCGCAAAGTCAGGCAAACTAGCCACCTTGATGGTTCAATTAGGCATTGATACATTTATGAAGATTCATGGAGAAGTGGGGCTTATTTACCAGTTGTCAATGATTGGAGCCGGTTTCCAAGCATCTGGGTTTCTCAGTGATCGCTGCTGCCTAAACGCTGCTGACTACTTTCGACATGCTTTTTTTTTGTATCATGAAAGACACTGCCAACCTGGGTCTGATCATTCCCTTCCAATCCTGGGACTGACCTAAGAAGGTATTGCTGGCAATGGACGAGCTCAGCAAATTATTGGGATGAGGTTCAAGGACCAGTCTCAGGTGAGTTTCAAGCTTCCACTTTGTTTTGTGTGCCGTGCTGTCACTTCTGTGTTCAAGCTGACCAATAATCAACTCTTTGTCCCGTTGATTCTCATCGTTGGACCCTTTGATTATAAAATTGCTTTGATATGTTTCCTGCTTAAAATGCTAAGATCTTGATCAATTGGGTCAATGGGCTGAGGAGTGGCAGATGGAGTTTAATTTGGATAAATGCGAGGTATTGCATTTTGGTAAAATAAATAAGAACAGGACTTATACAATTAAAAATAGGGACTTGGGTAGTGTTGTAGAACAGAGAGACCTAGGGGTTCAGGTACATAATTCTTTGACATTTGCATCACATGTAGACAGAGTGGTTAAGAAGGTGTTTAGCACTCTTACCTTCATTGCACACAGCTTTGAGCATAGGAATTGGGACGTTATGTTGAAGTTGTACAGGACATTGGTGAGGCCTCTTCTGGAGTACTGTGTCCAGTTCTGGTCGCTTTATTATAGGAAGGATATTATTAAACTGCAGAGGATTCAGAAAAGATTTACCAGGATGTTGCCAGATTGCACGGTTTGAGTTATAGTGAGAAACTGAATGGGCTGGAACTTTTTCACTGGAGCGAAGGAGGTTGAGCGGTGACCTTATCAAGGTTCATAAAATCATGAGGGGTATAGATAAGGAGGATGACAGGTGTCTTTTCCTGAGGGTGGGGGATTTCAAGACAAGGGGGCATTTTTTCAAGGTAAGAAGAGAAAGATTTAAAAAAGGTATGGAAGAAATTTGTTTTACAGAGACTGAACTGGAATGAACTTCCAAAGGAAGTGGTGGATGTAGGTACAGTTACAACACTTAAAAGACATTTGAATAAGTTCATGAATAAGAAATGTTTGGAGAGATATGGGCCAAACACAGGCAGGTGGGACTAGTTTAGTTTGGGATTTTGGTTGACATGGATTGGTTGGACCAGTGTTGTATAACTCTACGACTAAGAGCAGGTCCCCAGTCACCACCAGACACTGTCAGAGTGAGAAGCTCAGCTAAATGTCAACTACACTTACTGATAGAGAAACAGTACTTCAGGAGAATCCTGTAAAATTTTCTATACTTTGGGGATAGGCCAAATTTTGATTCATAATAACGCTTTCAAATTATTACAGAAGTTTTTCTTTTTGTCTCCCAATTATATTGTCATAAGAATCTGGATAATAATGGCGAACAGGTACAAAATGATGGA